ACTCCATGGTACTGGTAGAGGTTGTGATGGTAACCAGGGTCAGCTTCGGCTGACCTCTTATGAGGATGGTGCACGTGGGTATGTGTGTATGTAGATATGTATGTATGTATATACGCGCTTGAGTGTGTGTTTATACACGCACACACCCACACACATGTATATATGTGTGTGTAGATGTAGATACAGATATATATATATATATATATATATATATATATATATATATATATATATATATGTATGTATGTATTGTGTTTACACATATAAAAACGTATAGTCCATATATGCATATTTATATGTAGATATCTACATATATAAACATACATGTATATAGACACATATAGACATGTGAATACATATATACATATATGTACAGACATTCCTGTATATTTTTATTTATATAAATATATATATGTATATATATTATTCATATATATTTGAATAAATCAATGTATATGAGCGTGTGTTTATGAATACATATGCAGTATATATGCTAAATAAATACATAAATGGACATTTCTATCCTACCAAACCTTGTTGCACATGATGAGACAGGTTCTTCTTTTGCTTCGAACTTCTCGGCAAGCGAATAAGCCTGGCGACCTTTTACCAAATTTACTTCTGATTGATATTTTTTCGCGTTGAACTGAAACTGTGGATGGGAGTCAAGTGTTCATCTTTTTAGTAGATTCACCGTTATAACTAATAAGTATTGATGATCTTTATACCTAGTGTTTTTCTGATTTTCAATAACTTCAAATGATGAATACTGTAGTCATCAAAATTGGCTGTATTGGTTTCAAAACGATATATGAAGCAAGGGAAAGACATGGGAAGGGAGAAAACCTCGGTCGCAAGGCTAAAGCAACGACACTTTCCATCTCACTTTTGAAAAGAATTAATAAATTAAAAATATTTATTCAGAAATATTTTAATTTCATAATAAGACACAAACATTACTAACATTTCTGTCTCCTGGCGCTCAATAGCGGCGGTAGAAGCCGTGACCGGAGGAAACTCCATGGTACTGGTAGAGGTTGTGATGGTAACCATGGTCAGCTTCGGCTGCCCTCTTATGAGGATGGTGCACGTAGGGGTTGTATGGGGTGTAGTCGGGGCTGTAGGGATGGTAGACGGTAGAGGGTTCGGCTGACCTCTTATGAGGGTGGTGCACGTAGGGGTGTATGGGGTGGTACTGTAATGAGGGTGGTGGTAGGGGTTGTAACCGGTGGCTGACCTCAACGTAGGGGTTGTATGGGGTGTAGTAAAAAGGGAAGACGGTAGAGGCTCCTTAATGTTGGTGGTAAGTTGGGTTCTCTGGTGTAGGGGGTGGTAGGGGTTGTATGGGGTGTAGTCGGGGCTGTAGGGGTGGACGGTAGAGGGTTCGGCTGACCTCTTATGAGGGTGGTGCACGTAGGGGTTGTATGGGGTGGTGGGGGCTGTAGGGATGGTATACGGTAGAGGGTTCGGCTGCCTCTTATGAGGGTGGTGCACGTGTGTATGGGTGTAGTCGGGGCTGTAGGGATGGTGGACGGTAGAGGGTTCGGCTGACCTCTTATGAGGTGGTGCACGTAGGGGTTGTATGGGGTGTGTCGGGGCTGTAGGGATGGTGACGGTAGAGGGTTCGGCTGACCTCTTATGAGGGTGGTGCACGTAGGGGTTGTATGGGGTGTAGTCGGGGCTGTAGGGATGGTGGACGGTAGAGGGTTCGCTGACCTCTTTGAGGGTGGTGCACGTAGGGTTGTATGGGTGTAGTCGGGGCTGTAGGGATGGTTAGAGGGTTCGGCTGACCTCTTATGAGTGGTGCACGTGGGGTGTATGGGTGTAGTCGGGGCTGTAGGGATGGTGACGGTAGAGGGTTCGGCTGACCTCTTATGAGGGTGGTGCACGTAGGGGTTGTATGGGGTGTAGTCGGGCTGTAGGGATGGTCGTTCGGCTGTGAGGGTGGGCACGTAGGGGTTGTATGGGTGTTGTAGGGGCTGTAGGGATGGTACGGTAGAGGGTTCGGCTGACCTCTTATGAGGGTGGTGCACGTAGGGGTTGTATGGGGTGTAGTAGGGGCTGTAGGGATGGTGGACGGTAGAGGGTTCGGCTGACCTCTTATGAGGGTGGTGCACGTAGGGGTTGTATGGGGTGTAGTGGGGCTGTAGGGATGGTGTAGAGGGTTGACCTCTTATGAGGGTGGTGCCTGTAGGGATGGTGGACGGTAGAGGGTTCGGCTCTCTTATGAGGGTGGTGCACGTAGGGGTTGTATGGGGTGTAGTCGGGGCTGTAGGGATGGTGGACGGTAGAGGGTTCGGCTGACCTCTTATGAGGGTGGTGCACGTAGGGTTGTATGGGGTGTAGTGGGCTGGGGATGGTAGACGGTAGAGGGTTCGGCTCTGCCTCAGGATCAGCGGACCTCTTGTGAAGAGGGTGGTAGTGAGCGGCATGGTAGTCGGCGCTGTGGTGGCGACCATAAGGAGGATAAAGGTAGCCTGTGCTTGGCTCCGCCTCTCGCTTCTCCACTTGAGAAGCGCAAGCGGCAGCCACCAGGAGGACAAACACCTGAAATACACAAAGCATTAAACACCATCTTTGGCAAAGAAGAATAACCGTCACAGAAGTGCAACAAATCAAACATCGCTATCTCCGGATCTTGTGGATTTCAAACAGTGAAGTTGGAACTCACCAAGTACTTCATGTCTGCAGGACTGGAGAGAAGGAACAGGGCGATGTGATCTTAGCAGAGAGATTCTCATCCTTATATAGCAGGGAACTTCAGGGCCTTGAGATATCGACCTCACGCCTAAGAAAGTAGGAAGCATTTACTGGTTAAAAATACGTTATTCATTTTGCAAGATTTTTTTTTATGTTTAATGATTTATCTATATTTGTTTTTGTTACCTCTCATTCTATCTGTTTGTTATCTTATGCTTATGTTTGTATGTATGCATGAATGTATGTATTACAGAGGGAACCGTCATTTGCGTTAAATATTCTATCAATCTTATCATCTGACTGTCATAAGCCAAACATCCTGCTAACAATAACTTACATGTATCTAGACCAAGGGTTCCGAACCTATTTGGTACTATGTTCTCCTTGTGAATTTTAATGGACTACCCACGTCATATTTTTCATACTACATGAATTCCCTGTCCTTCCCCTCTCTCGATACCTGGCTCCCTTGCGTTAAGCAGACAAAAGAGATTGTGTTTTTTGTACGGAAGATGTAGTCAGCATGATAAATCAAGTAAATGATAATCAGTAGCATAAACAAAATACTTCGTGGATCTCAACTCCGTTCCTGTTGACAGATAGCTTACACCATTAATAAATCACAAGGAAAACTCTGGTGTTCATTTCTTTTTCAGTGTTCAGGTAAAAATCGACAAAATTACCAAGAGATGGACAAGTATGTGCTTCCTACGAATTGCAGCTCAGTTGTTCAGAGAGCATTTCTCATTCTGTTCTGTTTCCTTTTGCTGAACACAAAGTCCAAAGCCAAATGTGATCGCTACTCAGGAATGCCATCATGACACCAGTAAAACATTCAGTTATATATTACTCTCTTTTGCATGATTAAGAAAAAAGAAAAACTACTCACATATTGGATAGGAACCTGTAATCTAGACAGATGAAAATGTACATGAAAGGAATAATTATGTGCATATAACTGTTTACAAATATGCGTATATATTTATATGTTTACATAATGTATGAAAGATTAGTACATTCAATATCTATGTATGTGTGTGTTTGTTTGTCTGTATATATGTGGATGTGTACATTCATATACATTTTATATATATGCATATGTATATACACATCTCTCTCTCTCTCTCTTCTCTCTCTCTCTCTATCTATCTATCTATCTATCTAATCTATCTATATATATCTATATATATATATATATGTATGTATATATTACATATAATGTATATCTGTGTATACATATATATTGTACATACATACATACATATATATATATATATATATATATATATATAATATATATATATATATGTATGTATGTATGTATGTATTAACAAATATATGTATGCATCTAAGTAACCATATAATAATATGAACATTTATATATACATATATATTCATTCATTCATTATTCATGTATGTGTATATGTATATATATACATATGTAGTCATATATTCCTAAATACATTTATATATAAATATACACATCTATATACACATATGCGTGTAAAATATTAATTTATATGTATATGCATATAGATATAAATGTATGTAATATATGTTTACATATATCTTAGATATGAATTAATGTGTGTGTATGGATATACCTATGCATATATCAATATATATCTCTATATATCGATATATGCACATATACATACATGTCTATTTTTCTGTTTCTTTGCATATGTATATATATATGTTTATATATATAAATACATACATATACAGAGAAAGATGTGTGCATATGTAAATGTGTATATGTGCCTGTATTACTTGATAAAATATATATGTAAACATCTATGTATAAATAGATACACACACACACACACACACACACACACACACACACACACACACACACACACACACACACACATATATATATATATATATATATATATATATATATTCAGTCACACCTATCTGTATATGCTAAGATATTGCGAGAACTTTTGTCTTAAACTGTCAGTTGTAATCAACTGTTTATGCTTTTGGTAGTTTCACAGTTTATCTTTTCCTGGTAGTTTTAATATCCTTTTGCATCTAATGTCTTTGTGTGATTTTGGATCATTTCAAATTATTAATTATGAAATCTTCATGACTGGAAACATTCGTTCCAACTGCAAAGCGATATCTGAAGTAAGGCCAAGACATGAAGTGGAAGCCTGTCTTTAGGCAAAGAACACATTCCAAGTCACTTTCAAAACTATTAGAATAAAAACATATATTCTATTCAGAAAGTCTTTATTTTATGTGAGACACGAACAATACCATAACCAATGTATTCAAACTCCTGGCGCTCAGTAGCGGTGGTTGAAGCCGTGACCGGAGGGGACTCCATGGTACTGGTAGCGGTTGTGATGGTAACCATGGTCAGCTTCGGCTGCCCTCTTATGAGGATGGTGCACGTAGGGGATGTATGGGGTGTAGTTGGGGCTGTAGGGATGGTAGACGGTAGAGGGTTCGGCTGCCCTCTTATGAGGGTGGTGCACGTAGGGGTTGTATGGGGTGTAGTAGGGGTTGTAGGGATGGGAGACGATAGAGGGTTCGGCTGACCTCTTATGAGGGTGGTGCACGTAGGGGTTGTATGGGGTGTAGTAGGGGCTGTAGGGATGGTAGACGGTAGAGGGTTCGGCTGACCTCTTATGAGGGTGGTGCACGTAGGGGTTGTATGGGGTGTAGTAGGGGCTGTAGGGATGGTAGACGGCAGAGGGTTCGGCTGACCTCTTATGAGGATGGTGCACGTAGGCGTTGTATGGGGTGTAGTAGGGGCTGTAGGGATGGTAGCCGGTAGAGGGTTCGGCTGACCTCTTATGAGCTGCCTCAGGATCAGCGGACCTCTTGTGAAGAGAGTGGTAGTGAGCGGCATGGTAGTCGGCACTGTGGTGGCGACCATAAGGAGGATAAAGGTAGCCTGTGCTTGGCTCCGCCTCTCGCTTCTCTCCACTTGAGAAGCGCAAGCGGCAGCCACCAGGAGGACAACACCTGAAATACACAAAGCATTAAACACCATCTTTGGCAACAATAAGTATGTTGCAACTACTCAAACATCGTCCGGATCTTGTGGATTTCAACAGTGAAGTTGGAACTCACCAAGTACTTCATGTCTGCAGGATTGGAGAGAAGGAACAGGGCGATGTGATCTTAGCAGAGAGATTCTCATCCTTATATAGCAGGGAACTTCAGGGCCTTGAGATATCCAACCGCACGCCTAAGAAAGTAGGAAGCATTTACGAGTAAAAAAAAAATACGTTATTCGTATTGCATTTTTTCTATCTTCCTATGCTTGTATGTCTGCATGGCAGAGAAAGACTTCGTGTGGTCTATATTTCATTCGTCTGTTATCATCTAATTGACACTATAACCCGAAGATCTTGATAACATTTATCTACATATACCTGAGATAAGAGTTTCGAACCAATTTGGTACAATGTGCTACTTGGGAATTATGATGGCTTACCATGTTATATTTTTCATACTATGTTGCTTCCCTGCCCTACCATGCGCACAATACTTTCTGTTGACAGCATACACCCCTATTTAATGGAAAATGTTTCGATCTCTTTTTCATAAGGTGTGTAAAAGTCGATAAACTTACCGTAAAGAGATGATCAAGTTTATGCCGCCTACGAATCTCAACTCAGCAGCTCAGAATGGAATTTTCAGTCTGTCCAATCATCCTTTCTCCGGACACAAATTCCTGTGCCAAATGTGATCAGTTCTCAGGGATAACAAAATGACAATAGTGAAACAGTTATCAATCAGTGTATGCATATGATCAAGCAAAAGTGGCAGACAAAAGTAGACCTACCACATTAGCTGACATCATCCATGCATATTCAGAAACAACAGCTATCTACGTAGGCCTATCAATTAAATGTACCATTGGCATCACAGGTACCACGACTTGGGAGCCTCTTATCTAGACAAATGAATATGTACATAATATTTACAGATTAAGTATATAACTTCAAATGTATGCTGGGGAATGTATATGTGTATATGCATATATCCATACACACACACTTAAATCTATCTATCTCTCTCTATCATATAATATATATATATATATATATATATATATATATATATAACAAAAAATAAAATATATTCAAGACTCACACACATACAGTATATATAGTATGGTATGCTGAAGGTATACATTAGACTTGACTATGGTGTACGTTTTTCTACACGAACGGATCTAAATAATTTCTTAAATTAAATCTTGCAATTGAAACACCAAAAAGATGCAGATTCGATAAGTCCCCCACTTGGTGCCATAATCTTACATATCTGAAAAAGAATCGAAAATACATAAGCCTGATACAGCTGATCATGAGGTGTACAATCATCGATGACAGAGTAAGAAAAAGAAGAAAATTCTAAACATATCAAACTCCTACACTATTTGATTTCTGACACTGAAATAGATGTAACAAATGTAAAAAAAAAAAAAAAAAAAAAAAAAAAAAAAAAAAAAAAAGATAGAGAGAGAGAGAGAGAGAGAGAGAGAGAGAGAGAGAGAGAGAGAGAGAGAGAGAGAGAGAGAGAGAGAGAGAGAGAGAGAGAGAAACAAAGGGAAAAAATGTTAGAACGAGTAATATCTAGACGAAAGCTGTTTAAACCCCGATAAGACACACAAAGCACGTACGATAGATTTATCCTTTTTTCTCCTATTTTCATAAACCGCGATGCATCGACCGTAAAGAAAGAACTATAAAAAAAAAAATAGATACACCTGTAAAAAGATTAACAAACCGATAAGAAGTGGATGTAAAAGGAGGAGAAGACACGAAA